CTCAGGTATCAGTTATTCTATATATAATTAGCTCAGACCCCTCAATTAGATCCAGTCTGTATCACACTCCTGATTCCGGTCTGTAACTCATAGTGAAAATCAGTCATATGAGACTAATTGGAGGTAGGGGAATATGTTAAATGGAATAACATGTTTCCTTGAAATGCTGCACACTCTGTTGTAATTAGTTTGAGGAAAGAGTCCTGGGTAAATGGTGAATTTCAAAACATTTGTGATTAAATAATTGTGTTTGTAATTTCATTTTCTGGCCAGAGTAAACTTCCAAATATTATTAGAGTATTTACGTCAATTTTCAATTCTGGGTGATAAGATTTCCTCATCCTAAATGCTATTTGGCGTGAATTTGTGCTCTAAAATGGGGAAAGTGGGAATTTTAGACAAGTAATTCTCTTTGAACAGAATTATCCAGTGACAAAAATTAAACCATGTCAGATAGAACAGACAGCAGCTGGGACAGTTATTTTGCAAGACAAGACAGGTAAACTTGAGAATGTAGCTGCCAGTGTTTCCCTAACTGTTCCAACGCTGTGTAGTGAGACAACACAAGTGTGTAATGTCACCCAGGAGCCGCAAGGCACAGGCAAAGGATTAGGACCCTGAAGCACAGTTATGGAAAAGATTAAAAAGTCCCTTTCCCCCAGTGAAGTTAAAGAAGACCTTTGTGAAAACTGGATTGTGTTCACACAGAGTTCCCATGACAGTGACAATGAAGCATTCCTTATATGTGACTGAAATCAATGTTAAAACAAGGAGTAGTCCAAAAGAATAGAATAGACTTTATTGCCACGTGCACTCGAAAGAGTGCAGTGAAAAGTTTGTAATGTCGCTTCTCGGCACCATCTTAGGCACAGGATACCTTGGTACAGATACTTTATGTGCTGTTGCAGAATTGAAATAGTTTTTAAAAAAGACTAGCATGGGAATACAGAGTTTAAAAAGTCCAGAATTATAATAAAGATATCCCTAAGTACTCAAGTTATAATCCTTTCTTGCTGGATCTGTGCCCACCGGGCTTCAGTAAACACAGCCTTGCTGCCTCCACAGGGCTGGCCTCTCTCCAGGACTTGCCTCCAGGACTCTTCTTCCCCTCCCCCCCCCCCAGCCCCGGAATAGGTTCATGATTTTAAAATCCTATTTAATTGTAAGTTTTCAGAATTGTTCTTTATTAAACTGGTGCATGGGGATTAAAAAAAAGGCTTAGCTTGGCCTCAAAACATTGATAAATCTTTTTGGAAGACATCCAATTTGAACTCTGAATTTGGAATAAATTAGAAATCGAATATTAAATATTTAATAGAATATAAATTAGCATAGACAATAGAAAGTAAAATGACTGTTGATAGTCTTTTTAAACTGAATACTTGAAAGTATGCCATGGTATCGCCTGGTGACGGGCCGTGCCCCATCTGAGCCCAGCAGAATGCACTCTTAGTGCTGACTGTTTTAAATCTTCTCTCTCACCTTCTGTAGGGTGGATTGTGTTCTTTGAATATGATCAATGCACTAGACTTCTTCCAGAGCCACAGTGAATTGTGTTTTTTTAAATATTTTGAATAGATTGCAAGAACACAGTGAGGGAGCTGGAAGTCTTGTGGAGTCTTTGAAAACAGGTGAATCCTGAACTGACTACAGTCATTTGAAGCTTTAGTATAAGAGCACAATTTAAAACCACTGAGGCTAGACATAATTGTTTCTGAAATTGGGATTGATAAAGTTACTTGCTATAAGTTGCCAGTTCAAGCGCACAGTGGAAAATTCAATGGAATTTTGAAGGGAAAATGCATTTAAATCTTTTAACTTTAATTTAAAATAAGAACCAATGGATACAGTGGAGGTAGTTTTAATTTGTTGCAGAATAAAATGGGATAGATTAATTTATTACCAAACAAACAATTGACCATT